TCCCTTCACAGGACACACGTGTTCTCTGCAGCCCCAGCATGCGCTCGCGCTCCAAACCGGGGCACCGAGTGACTTTCTCCGCATTCCTCTTGCGCAAACTTCCTTTGGATGCACAAAACCTCCCTGCGAATTCCAGCAAATCTGACATTACAAAGTCCTTTCGAAGCACCCGCTCCGGCTGGTGCCTTTGATGTGGGCTGGTGCGTTACCCCAACCTGCGGAGCAGCAAACACGAAGAAATCTCTTCTTTCTCCTTTGCAAGGCAGAGCAACCCCCGAGCACAGGGAGGTGGAGGAGGAGCAGGTGAACACGCTCACTCCAAGGATCCCAGTGGATTCCCCTCAATATAAATAATTAATGTGTGCGCTGACCAGTGGCTATTCCGCCTGAAGGATCCTAATAGATTCCCCTTGATATAAATAATTAAAGTGTTGCTGACCAGTGGCTACTCCACTCTCAGGATCAAAGCGGATTCCCCTCAATATAAATAATTACAGTGTGTGCTGACCAGTGGCTATTCCGCCTGCAGGATCCCAGCGGATTCTCCTCGATATAAATAATGAACGTGTGTGCTGACCAGTACGCGCCGCACGATTCTCTCCACTACCACCTAGCGGGAAGCGGCTGCCCTAGCCAAGCTCCAGGGCTCCAACCTCATCCCTGCCCTGGACACCAGAGCAGGGAATACGTGGAAAAGGGATGGAGGGATGAGTGAGGGGCAGAATCCTGCTCCTATGCAGGAGGAGTGCAGATAGCATTGCAAATATGTTGGGATTACTAGCCGTAATTCAGGCCATGTGGTGGGTGCATCATCACATGCTGCTTCTCACGCTGCACCCAACACAGCCCCTGCTCCCCAGGGAGACTCCCAACACTTAGCAAATAGCATCTCTACAGGTAAAATAGGGAAACATTTGCTCTTCTGAGTGCAACTGCCCCTGCAAAGGGCAGGAAGGAGAAAGGGGGAAGGTGTGTGAGCCACAACCCTGCGCGCGTCGACTCTCTTGGTCGCTCTGGTGCCTGCTCTGCTACGGAGACGGAGGGAACGCTGCCAACCCCAACACTTGGCTCCTCTGTCAAGATGCGTGTGCTGTAATAACCATGTATTTGTAAGGACTGCTATGTGAAAGCATAAAATATGTCCTAAGAATATTCTTAGGAATATTCTAATCACACATTCAAGTCCTTCCCTGCTGCGACACACAGTGTTTGCACAAATTGTGGAAATCCAACCCTAGGAAAACATCCTACAAATTACAATTATCTGGGACTTTTTTACTTCCCTGCATGCCACTTGGGGCCAATGCTCCCAGGGTACAAACAATAACCAGTTTTGGCGCGTGTGGGGCTTTCTTTGAGAGAGTTGCAGAAACAGGGGCGAACACAACGGCAACAATAATTCTCACATTTCAAGGAGGGGATGGTGTTAATGTCATTCAGGCCAATAAAGCATTTGGCAGTCTCAGCAGGAGGAACTGTAAAATGGCAACGAATTATTAAAGGAACCACTTTGAAATATTTCTTTTGCCAATGGCAGCTTTATCACCATATTCAGGGAACGTCACAGGCTCCCTTTGCTAGCAATTTTATTATAAAATTATTTAGCTTTTCTTTTTGTCTTTCTCTGCATGCTCCTTGAAATCATGACATTGGGTTGGCTTTATCCTGGGAAGTGACTACATTTTGCCTTGTGCCTGCTTGATGATGGATATAATTCAATAATTGATAACACTGAAGGTAACAAGTGCATTAATATAAGAGTCAGGCCTCAGGAGCCTACAGCCCACCTGCAGTTCCACTCCTGACTCTGTTGCACAACTATTCAACCAGTTTTACTTACCCGCAATAGGCAGAATGTGGGCCAATAGGTCTAAAATAAGAATAATGTTCCTATTATAAACCCATTTATATTTCATGGAGAAGTCCTCATTATTAATTAATCCACAGTTCAGCTACCTTATTACATGCTCCTGGGAGAAGGCATTACACTGGAGCAGCTTACCAAGGCAGACTATTATTTATCAATGAATTGGGATAAAATAGAGGAACAAGATATTCTTGCCTGGAGATGTATCGGGAACACCAGCAACCCTGTCACCCAGGGCTATCAGACTGCATACTACTTGGAATGGAAGCAAATAAAATTAGAATCAAAGGTAAAATGCAGAGATGTTGTATTATAGCGTGGGTAGCACTATGCACAGAAGTTGAACTTGTTTAAATAATCTTTATTAAAATAGAAGACCTATAGAGCTCAGAATCCCCAAGCGTGGTACTCACTGATGTATTTCTCCAATGTGCATCCGAAGCATGTTGGTAATAACACGTTTTCCACGGGCTTTCTGTTTAGTTTAAGGATTTATTGTTGTAAAGCTGCTGATGTCCTGTGACCAAAGCTCTGAGTTTGAGGGGTCTCAAGCACCACGCTAATTATGCTTAATGACACTTAATTTTGTGAGAAAAACAGATACACACAACCAGATATTGCAGACTGACCTGATAAGGGGTCAGGTATCTCCCAGGCCTTTCATGCTTCAAAATCTGCTTCTCCGCTACCACTTTCAACATCACGTTACTCAAAGTGACTTCAGAAACATGACAACCCCTAGAAAGTATTGGCAAGCAAGAAAAAAATATCAATAAAATCAAATAATACTAAGTGAACATGGGCAGAGCAAAACCAAGTCCTTCCTTTCAAACAATCCCTTGCAAGGCCAAATCCACGAGGCATAGGTTATAGATTATAGATTTGATATAGGAATACATTCTTTACATTATGGTACTCGACAGTGTAGCTCTTGCTCTACTACTAAAGCTATAATCTAGCTGGAATTTGCAGCTTCCACCCCTGGGCACTGCTGTCCTTATTACCTCTCAGCAGCACAGGGCGGCAGTTGTAATAACCTGATAAATCTGAAATTATAATCCTCAATCCCACATATAAAACAGGGCTACTGGTTAATCCATAGCAGTAGCCTCCTCTCCACCTCCCAGTTGCTCGTTCTGATAATTAGCAACTTGTAACACCTGGGAAAAACAGGTTTTCTTGCACTGAAGAACCTGAATTAAATACCTTATGGAGCACTGAATCATTTACTGGTATATCTGGTTTGGTAGCTTACAGCGAATATAAAAATTATAGTGTGGATGTTTTTAAGGCAACTTTATCTCTTTGTTGATTGTCCAGGCTCCTGGAGTTTAAACGGGGCAACAGCAACAGATCAAGGGAAAACGTGGCAGAGAACATTGACGTCTTCCTCACTATTTGAAAGGTTTCCACAATAAACTCAGGATTCCTCACCTGGCATCCACCTGGAGCATCCTCCAGGTCCTAGGGATGCTTGTTTCTGGGTTTATGACCTTTAATTGCTTTCAAGAGGAACTGTTTCAAGGTGTGTGTAGCTGACAGTCTCTGGGGCCAGCTGCCTGGAAGGGAGGGAGCTTCTGCTGCACGAGGAATCCCCAAACCACACGATGAGCACAGATATTCTGTCAGGCTTTTTTTTTTTCCTTTTCCTTCTTTACAGGTTTCCTTAACAAATACTGCTGTTTTTTGTGGAAACTTCATGATTTCTGGTTTCCTGCAAGCATACAACAGAAGTACACAAAATCAGAAAATCTATACATTAGACAATAGTCTATACATCAAAAAAAAGGTTAGCATGTTCATAAAGTCAATGTTAGTATTTTCCATCCCTTTTAGGGTAGGTGAAGGGAACCACCGTGCGCAAAGAGGCGGAATTGGAAGCAGCAGCCGGGCAGTGGGCACTGCCCCTGCTCTCAGCCCACGGCAGCAGCCTACCTGACACCTGCACGGGGGGAACGTTTTCAAGCAAAACACACAGAAATTGGATCAAAAGAGAGGTAGGGCAACACTAAAATAAAAAGCTGAACACTTGAAAAGTCTCTTTATTAAACACGTTAGGAAAAGAATAAAGTCTTTAGGAACTAAGGGTGCTTTTCTACATGCAGTGTATCCCGGTGGACTTGATACTCCTATTTCGGCAGACAAAAGCGGGTCTCCCTGCCACTGTTTCAGGTTTCTGTGGGGCGATGGGAGCGGGCGCAGATGGCACCTGAAACGAAATGCAGTGGTTTTGGGTCGCCCGCAGGGACGAGGGCTCCAGAACTTGGCCCCTGCGGGACCAGAGAGCGGAGCTGCCATCGAGAGGGCACCGAGGGACATGGTAGATGGGAACCGCGGACCTGGCCAGGGAACCACGGCAGGGCCTGGCAGTCGGAGCTGCCGGGAGGCCGTGAGAAGCAGCTGCCCCACGAGCCAAAGGCAGAAGCGGGGAAGCCCCTTAATGCTCCCCACGGGGCTGCGGGGCTGGCTGTGGGATCGACCGCAGCGCCGCCTCGCGCCCTGCAGCCTCCGAGGCGCCTCTTCCCCGTTCCCTCCTGTCCCCGGCGCCTCTTCCCCGTTCCCTCCTGTCCCCAGCGCCTCTTCCCCGTTCCCTCCTGTCCCCAGCGCCTCTTCCCCGTTCCCTCCTTCCGTCAGTGCGGCTTCCCCATTCCCTCCTTTCCCCGGCACCTCTTCCCTGTTCCCTCCTTCCCTCAGTGCCTCTTCCCCATTCCCTCAGCGCCTCTTCCCCGTTCCCTCTTTTCCCTGGCACCTCTTCCCCATTCCCTCCTTTCCCCGGTGTCTCTTCCCCATTCCCTCCTTTCCTCTCCCCGCTGCTCCCCCTCCCCCTGCACTTTGTGGGCCGCTGCCGCCGTGCTGAAGTCCAAAGTTCAGCAACTTGCTAAGCACACAGATAAATATGAACCTTAGAGAATTTACATTGCTCCAATGTAAACAGATAGCCAAGGGTCCCTTTATCAGCACTGGCTCGGGACAGTCGTGGGGGGTCTGAAGTGGCTTGATTTTGTATTTTGCCTTTTTTTTTTGTTGTTTTGGGGAGGGCGCCCGGGGGGACGCAAGGCGGGAGGCTGCGCCGGGCGCCCCTGGGCGCGCTCCCTCGGGACCATGGTGTAGGGCGGCAGCCGCGGCCGGGACCATGGTGTCCAAGCTGAGCCACCTGCAAGTGGAGCTGCTGGGAGCGCTGCTGGAGTCCGGCCTCACCAAGGAGACCCTGATCAAGGCGCTGAGCGAAGCGGAGCCCTACGCGCCGCCGAGCGAGAGCCAGCGCGCCATCCATGCGCTGCAAGCGGAGAAGGGGGACGGCGACGGCGCCGCGCTGCCCAACGGCCTCGCGGAGGCCCGGCTCTCCGAGGAGGAGACCGACGACGACGGCGAGGAGTTCACCCCGCCGATCATGAAGGAGCTGGAAAACCTGAGCCCTGAGGAGGCTGCTCACCAGAAGGCGGTGGTGGAAAGGCTATTACAGTAAGGACAGATCCTCTTTGCTGCTCTCTCTCACCTCTCCCCTGCAAACCTCTTACTCCTTTCCCCTTAACGCTGGCACCATCTTCTCCCGCGCCGGTGCTCCCCGATTCCCTGTGGATGCTCCGGCTTTGCTTCCCATCCAGCTCCCAACGCGCCTGGGAAGCTGCGGAGACACCTTGGAAGCACTTAGACCATCAGCCACGGGCTGCAGAGCCCGCTGGGGCCAGCGTAACCGCTGCCTCTCCGGCCAAACAGGAGTTTTTACGGGATTCCCTCTTTATGTCATCAAGGGAGGAAAGATATAAAATAAGAGAAGCCTGTAAAAAACTGGCCACTGTTAACTGGCCTCACAGTAGTCAGTTTAGGGTAGAGAGTTTTAGCTTTTTCTGCTCCTTTTACGGGGATATCTTTATTCTACTCCCATTCTATTTCACCTGTCCAGGACAAACCAAGCGAGCTTGTTCCTGTCTTCCATGCACATGCTAAATCCTGATTTCTGTGGGATTTTCTCTTGTAGAAAGAGTAGAAACTGAATGTACGAGGAGGTTAGAAAGGGCTCGCTGTGCTCCTACCCGCGCTGCCTGCCGCAACCGCAGAGCGCGTGTACGGAGCAGCGACGGGTCCCGCTGCCACACACACTTGCCTTTGCATGAAGCACTAAACCAGAAGATAGGAAATGTTCCCTGAACCAGGGAGGCTCCCAACAAACCCAGGGCTCCCATGCGGATAGTACCTGGGATCCCCAAAACCACCCTGAGATGTTTGTCCGAGCAAGGATGAGGTCCTGCAAAGCCTCCCAGGCCAACAGAAGCAGAACCTTGTCCCACTGTTTTGGGGAAGCTCTGGAATCACAGGCTCTTTGGAGGCACAAGATGCAACAACATCTGCATCTGAAACCTCCACCAAAGCTAAAATGCAGCTAGAGAGGTTCCTCAGGCCTTCTGATCAATCCCCTTTGCAGGCAAAGGGAATTAACACAAAGTGCAAAGAGAGAAACACCAAACCCCACCACGAAAGGCCAAATAGACAGCATGACCGGCATTAGCATTTGCTGTAAATATTTAAGAGAAGAGCAACTGGGAGCTGCTGACTCTGCAGTTCCCAATGGAAGAAAATTCACTGAATCAGCTCTTACCTGGGAGGAGAAACATTCACAATAGTTCATTCTTCTTCTTGGCCCCCAAAGCCTGTCTCTTCTCCCCACTGCCTTTCACCATCTCCCCTTTCCCTTACTCTCTGCCCTTCTCTTTACCAGATCTCCATTTCTCTCCTTGCTTTTGTCTCTGCTGCTAATCCTTCCATTTTGGCATCTTCTTGGGCAGTTCTCTCCTACCCTTCCACACTCCTTCCCCTCATCCTCATTCCTTCTCTTCTCCCTGAGTCTGCGTACAGGTCTTGGGGTAGTTTGAGCCCAGTGGCACCGGGCGGGCCCTGGCTAGTTACTAATTATCCAATGGCTTTATTATTTCTCTTTTGTCTTATAAATTTATAGATGAAAAGACCCTGATAAGCTTTTTGATCATTAACTCCCGATGGTTTAGCAGGTATCTCTCCAGAAAGGCAGCGTGGGGGTTGAAGAGCACCCGGCTCCGTCCCACTCCCACTGGGTGGGTGCCGTGGGCCTGAGGGGCATCCCCCCCATTCCCATTTCAGAGCGACCAACACTGAGGTACAGAGGGACCCTGTGACCCACCTAAAGACCCCAAGACTGGGCAACAGGCAGGATCTCAAGCCTTGTATCGGGCTTAACTGCAGCCCTTGGCTCCACAGCCTCAGCACTTCCTTCGCTTGCCCCTGTCGCAGGACACGGCAGTTCCCTTTTGCTCTGCACGACACTACAAAAGGCACCAGGAGCCACAAGTTCAGCCAAAAATTAAACACATCCTTACAGAGGATGTAACAGACCAAAACTATCCGAAGTGAAATGGCAAGAGTGAGAAGTCTGTCCTCACAGTTTTCCTATTTCTGGGTAAGGATTTAAACAAACACAATTGCATGTCTGGAGAGGAAATTTCAAGTATCTCCAGCAATTGCACAGTAATACATAAGAAGTATCTACCAACTAAAACTTTTTTCTTTTTTTTAGAACATTTTTCTATTAAGTGTTAATAGAAATAGAAACAGTGAGCACTTAAAGTTTTCTATCAACGCCATCTAAGGTTAATCTCCTTAAAACAGTGTTACAAATAATTATAGATTATAATTATAGATTATAATTATAGATTATAATTATTTGTATAATTATATTTGTATACGGGAGAACAGAAATTACTCCCAGAAACAGATGGAAGGAAGGATAAAAAAGATTAAAATAAAAAAATAGAGATGCCCAGGCCTAAGGATCGTGCAGAACATCAATGCCTGCAAAGCTGTTTCAGCACCTATATGGAGGTTTCAAGTCCAGAAACCAGATGGAGACACTCCTACCTCCAGGCAGAAGCATCTTTGAGGAAAACTAACAAGCTCTGTACTAATATTTAGCCCACGTTTATAAGAGACTGAGCTGTGGGCAGCTCCGAGCAAGAAAGCCTTTGTGGTAGCTGCAACCACTGCTCCTATAGGAAAGGAGCAGCAGGAAAGGTGTCCATTGATCAGTTTTCCAGGAGCTGGGATGTAAGAAGGGCAGCCCCAAGTGACCAGATTTGCCCTAGCAGGACCACTAAGGAGGAAACCACAGTGTGGGAGCCAGTGTGCAACGTGGGTGAAGGAGGACGTGGGCATTTGGGGAGCACCCACGCTGCTGGGTACCCCTGCAGGCACGTGTTGCATTTGCTCCTTTAGTGACAGGATCCAGAAAGGCAGCTCAGGGAAAGGTTTTTCTAGTCACGAATTTACATTCTGTTTCACTGGGTGCCTAAATAGGACCCACGGATCTTCCACAGAGCTGCGTATTGAAAAATATTGTTCCAAATTGCTCCGCAACCAAAACAAACTGTGGCTACGCTAAAGAACAGACTCACTAAGAACAGGGAGGTGTGTGGAGCAATTCCCAGATATTCCCAGGAGTAAAGAGGCAGAACAGAGGCAGCCCAGGGCTCATGGGCAGACCTTACTCCCGGCAGTACGGCAAACAGAAAGGTAGAGCAACAACTCACCTGCAGGGCAAGGGGTGAAATTCCACTAGGAAAGAGAGAAATTGAGATAAGCAACAGATTTCCCCCGGAGGCAGGGATAAAAGCTTGGCTTGCAGAAGGAAGAAAGAAAAACACAGCCGGAACAATAGGAGTCCGGTCTCTTCCCCGTGTCAGCAGTGTCTTGGAAGGGCTCTAGCCGAGGAACCTGGAGATGGGGCCACCACTCCCCTTGCATTCCCACATATAAACCCAGCAGAGCAAAGCAGGCCGGGCTGACCTACGGGGAGCCCGGCGGCATGGTCTTACCTGCCCTGCTCCACGTGGGCATTGCTGGGAATTGGCCGGTGGCTCCGGAGGAAAGGCCCAGAGGATGGTCTAAGCGTCTCTGAACCTCTGTCTAACCGAGGTCTGGTCCAAAGCAGCACTTCTGCCTCTGGAAAACGAAGGCTCCTCTGGCCTGGGAAATGGGGAAGAAGGAGAAGAGAGACAGAGGGAATAAGGAAGAGGAGGTGAAACAAAGGGACAAAGAGAAAAGAAAGAGAAATACAAGCCAGGAAGAGTGAAGGAGGCAGAAGGTACCCCGAATGTTACATCCCCAGCTCTCTGGAATGGGTTTTCTTTAATGCTAACAACTTGATATTTACTTTCCATTTAAATTTGAGATGTTGCTATAAATTATCAACCAGCCTCTTGTTCCCTTTGAGTTTATAACTAACTACCTGGGTTACTTATTGTTCAGGTAACAAAAGGGAGGTGAAAACGCCCTTAAAAAGTGACCTCAGACCTAAGAAAATGGGAAGCTGGAGGGGAGAGAAGACCCAGGCCACTGGGGGATGAGCAATGGGAGAGGGGCTACGATCCGAAGGAAGGAAACAGCGGACATCGGGAGAGTAAGATGGGGGAAGGAGGAGTAGGGACTGATTATATGAGGAGAAGAATCTGGGGACTGACATTAGACCTTAGAGAACAAGACAGGAATGTGGAGGCCGTTTGTATCTGAGGAGAAAGTGAAGTTAAAAGCAAAAAAAAAAAAAAAAATAGGCCTGGGGATGGAAGAGGAGAGTTTGAGCAGGATCCATTTCCACGGTCCCGACTCAAGCTGAGGTTTTAGCACAGTTCCAACCAGGAGGGGTCAGGCCTAAGGTGAAATCTAACTGTCAGTCAGTGACATTTTTGCCACCAATTTCAGCATAGCGGATATCTCAAATCACCCTGTTTCAGTCAACAGCAGAGGCTTTGCAGGAACCGCAGATTTGGGCAATGACTCACGCGAGGGCTCACGGAGCGGCCGCCGTCGTGACGCAGCCCAGGCCCAACGGGAGCCCGGGCCTCGACGGCTCACAGGGCAGCCACGGTTTCATACAACCCTCCTACGGGCGCACTGTACTAAAGTGCCCCATACTGCTGTGCCTCAGGAAACTCCCTGCTTTGCCTCAAAAATCAGAGAGAAACCACAGGGCTTTGAGCCTGGAGAGAGAAGAGAGGAGAAGTCTTCTTGCAGTCTGCTGCCTGCTTTATTCTTACCACAAATTGGGGATCTTGAACTCACTCCCAATTCGGGGGCAGGAAGGAAATGTGATAACGCAGCCCTCCTCTTCCTCCTGGAGCCAGAGCGCACATCTACAGCCAGGGATTGCACATTTGGGCCCCATCTCCAAGCAGGGATTTGTGGAACGGACTGGGCACATGCGCTGGCCACACACCTATCACAGATACAAAGGGAGGAGGTTTCTCCTCGCCTTGGAGGGCAAAAAACACCGAGGAAGGAAAAGCTCCCATTGAGTTCAGCCCTCACTGAGGCTTATGAAAGGTTGAGGGAAGGAGCTACCAGACCGAGGCCTCTGGAACAGACCCATCACAAGAGGAATGAATGGTCCTGTCATAAGGAAACCGACCTTTGAGGAGGCTGCAAGTGACAGCGCTCCCGCCGCGCGTTGCCCACAGCACAGCCTGCTCCTCGGACCGTCCCGGCACGGCGTGAGGGGCTGCGAGGGAGCACAGATAAGGCTGTTTGCACTGAGAGAACACACGCGGACTTTGTTCTCCTTATCACTTTGCAGTCTGGCAACTGAGTCAACAAGCACTAAGCAGCACAGTTGGGGCCTGTTGCTCAGACCCAGGTGTTCATTAGTTCATTAAGTGCATTAGTTTTTCTACAATATTAGAGGGATTCTTTTTAAAAAACACTCTCTCCCCGCACACTTTGTTCCTTTGATGGTGGCGTTGGAAACCACATCGGGGTATTTCTAGGGCACACAGACCATTTCCACTCCCTCTGCTCCAGGCGTTTCACATACACGCAAGGGAGGATGCTCTTTGTCAGAACCGAGCAGAAGCCAGGGGCTTTTGGGGAGAGAAGCACCTGAAACGGTTGCTTCTAGATAGCCTCGTTTCACACTTTCTATTTTCACTCTGATTTTAAGCGTGGGCACAATCAACATACACGGCAAAGAAACCATGGTCAAACTGTTATGCTTTCTCTATAACTGCCCAGGAATCCCCCACAGATATTCTGATCATCAAATGATAACAGGCAGAGATTCACACTCAGTATGAACCTTTTAGGTGGGTAGGTCTCAGACAGGGCTATTCCCTGGGTTATTACCTGGCAGGAGGTTGCTAAGCATAAGGAAATGTTTTGCCTGTTGCTTCCTGCTGTGTTTAGATGTTCAAGTACATCTGGATGTGACTCAGCAGGTGTTAGCAGTAACACACAGCAGATGTACAAGGACATGATCCTGGATACTTTCATATATGCTTAGATACCATATACGAGGAAAGACTATTGTGATTTTCTCAATCATTGCAGGAGAACCCAACCTTAACCAAAATCAGGGCACGAGGCAGGTTCAGGCTGTCCAGAATCACACTGAATTGTTCTTAAATGAGGAACACCTACCTGAGCACCCAGGCCTTAAAGAAAGGTGGAGAGATGAGAAAGGTTTTGGGTGGCAGAGAGAAGAAAGGAGAGGAGCTGCTCTCATAAAACATCCCAATGAACATTGAAATTGGATGTCACCTCTCTCCTCATAACATTTATTGCTAGCCACAAAAATGCTTTACACTTGCATTGCTTTCCCATAGAACGATCTGTTTCTTACTCACACTAGCCCTCGTGACTTACAATCACCTATATAAAATGAGGCAAAGCCTTGTATAAAAAAAGATCGAAGGTGGCAAAGACTGTGATGACGCATTGGGAAATTCCCAGGATAACTGGATCATCCCCTTCTCCTCAGGGCAGCCAAGGACCTGCAAAGAGCAGCTTGGAGGAAGCTTGTGCCCCAGCTTCTCCACCTCATTTCTGATCCGGTGGCACCAGGCTGCACAAGGTGTCACAGTGAGGAAGAGCTTCCCCAAGGAGCCCCTCTCACCTCACCCAGGGTGACAGGAGACCCCGACGCGCAGGAGGAGCACTAGGTGCCTCTGGGGAACCAGACATGAGCACCACGAGACCTCTCCTCCTGAGAAGTGTTTTCTGCTCCTTTCAGAGAGGATCCCTGGCGGGTAGCGAAGATGGTGAAATCCTACCTCCAGCAGCACAACATCCCGCAGCGCGAGGTGGTGGACACGACCGGCCTCAACCAATCCCACCTCTCGCAGCACCTCAACAAGGGCACTCCCATGAAGACCCAGAAAAGGGCCGCCCTCTACACCTGGTACGTCCGCAAGCAGCGAGAGGTGGCCCAGCGTAAGTACAGCAGTGATGGTTCTCCTACCTCTACTTCCATAATCACCTCCCCCCCGTTTCCAGCTGGGAATAAGGAACCACACACAGTAGGAAGCTTGGGAAAGTCTGGGCCAGTATCCAGCAAGGGTGAAGCTGCACCGAGGAAGATACTTCCCGAGTTGGGCACCATGGGCTGGCACCTCACGTGCTCTGATCCCCTCTGTTTTGGGGACACACTGCAGCACAGACCATGTTCATGGGTGTGGGAGCAATCTGAGTTCTGCATTCATGGGTTGCCACTAAAATGAGAGCCTTGGTCTCTGGTTGCAACTAAAATGAGAGCCGTGGCCTCTGGGTGACTCTGGAAAGCAAGATGCTCCCAGCTGGGTCTGCTCTCCTGGAAACCCTTCCAGGCAGCAAATCCCCTTGTCCCTCTATGCCCACAGAATTCACGCACGCCGGCCAGGGCATCCTGACAGAGGAGCCCATGGGAGACGACCTGCCCACCAAGAAGGGAAGAAGAAACCGCTTCAAGTGGGGCCCTGCCTCCCAGCAGATCCTGTTCCAGGCCTACGAGAGGCAGAAGAACCCCAGCAAGGAGGAGCGGGAGGCGCTGGTGGAGGAGTGCAACAGGTGATGCGGGGCGGCAGGCGCAGGGCTGAGTGGGGCACCCACGTCCTGGCAGCTGGGAGAGGCATCCAGCACTGGATTGAGGTGGGGACCTCATCAGTGTCTATAAACCCCTCAAGGGAGGGAGTGAGGATGGACCGGCCTCTTTTCAATAATGGCCAGTGACAGGACTGGAGAAAATGGCTACAAACTGAAGCATCGGAAGTTCCACAGGAACTCAAGAAAAAATGTCTTAATAGTGAGGGTGGCAGAGTCCTGGAACAGGCTGCCCAGAGAGGTTGTGGAGTCTCCTTTGGAGATCTTCACAACTGCTTGGATGCAGCCTGTGCCACGTGCTCTGGGTGACCCTGCATGTGCAGGGGGTTGGACTAGATGATCTCTGAGGTCCCTTCCAGCCTTAAACACTCTGATTCTAGGATTCCACGTCCCTGCTGCCCCAGCCAGGCTGGGGCACCTGGTGCGACTGAGCGCGCGCTGCCCACAAAGGCCCCGGCCGCACGCAGCACCCACCCACCTCCCCATCCTGGAATGTGCCTCGGACTCCTTCCATGTCGCTCCCATCCCGGAACGCGCCTCAGACTCCTTCCCTGTCG